ATACAGCGACGGACACGAACCAACTCGAAAAAACACATCAATGGTTGCCACCAGCTTGGCATTAGTGGCGCGAGCCCAAACCCATGATTGCTCGAAACCCCAGCATCCAACACAACGATCAGCAAACCGAAGCAAAACAAAACCAGTGGGCAATCCAATAAATAAGAAACTATCTCCTGCGTCGGCCCCTACCACGGCCACGAGCTCTTCCCCGAAGGCCAACAATGGCAGAATTTCTAATATTAACAAGAGAAAAATCATTTCATGGGTCCGAGCCCCCACAAAAATCCGTCAGAGCCAAATCACCACCATCAGAAAATTCGGATTTAGGATCACCATCTAACGATTCCAACCAATTCACATGATTCTTAATATCCATACCAGAGCTATCGCCTAAAGTAGAGCCTAAGTTGCGCGAATCGACCAAAGTGATAAGTACCTCCGTAAACCTGTTTACCACCGAATTACCATCCTGAGGCACAGCCATACCCAGACCAGGGCCCGAATCCACAGAAGGACCCACAACTAGAGATCCCGAAATTTTTCCAGGCACACACACAGTACTGGCAGGTGGAAAAGTCGGAGGAAAGAAGGGAACAACATTAGGAGATAACCAAAAATTAACAGCCTCATTGCTAACACCACACTGATCCTTTCAATACTATCCCTATCCTTTAGAACCTGAGCTGAGACCGTCACAGGAGAGACGTCAGATGAGACGAGATCAACATCAACCCGATTCTCATTTACAGCCTTAGCCTCCGAAACCATCCCTACATTAACAACCTGACATTCATCGACAACCTGGATGGGTAAAGGCTGAGACACCACCTCAGCAACAGGGGAAGCCGACGCTAACACGACATTGGGCAGAACAGGACCACAACTTACAGGTAAAACCACAACATTATCAACCTCACACTCCACATCCAAAAGAGACGTAACAATTGCAGCATCTCCAACTGGAAGATTCACGATTGAGGTGGGGGGACGTACATCGAGAACAGGGCTTAACAGCCCGTACCCACACAATTTCCCTGGGAAATGCCAATACACACAGCTAGCAACCAATATTTGGAAAATCTCTTAAAAATACCATCCATGAAACAATAGAAACCTAATTGATTCTGTTACCTAATACCCAAATTTGTTGGCATATGAGTGACAATTCAAGTTCTTTCTAAAATTTCAGCCAAGCAAATGATGGCCAAATACACTAAAGCTAGCACCACAATTTAGGAAATCTTCAAAACAACCTACTTAACATTAACCTACATGATTCTGAACCTAACCAAATCTTTGTGTTGGATGATTGAGTTTTTAGTAATATCAAGCTCTTTCTAAAATGCGAGCTCATATTGGATGGGCCAATAGGCTTAACGCATACCAAAATTTAGGAAATCTTAAAAAACAACACTCTTTGAACTGAATAATCACCTAATGATTTCTGAACTCTTACCTACCTAGAATTTGTTGGGATATGATTAGTAATATCAAGCTCTTTCTAAAATCGCCGAGCAATGTAATATGGGTGGGGATCGCACAAGCGTCACACTTTATCATTTATTCCAAAGCTTTATCCAAATAATCCGCCCAGACCAGACAAATTCCTGGGAGAGAATAAAAATGGGGCGAAGGTCGAAGGACGAAAACGAATTCCAACCGTGGAATAAGACCGATTGCACGAGGATTTCTACCTACAACTTACTTCAATGTCCTCAAATGTTCCGAACAACGAATAGATTGCTCTTAAGTGTAAGTTCTTCAATGAAATAGTTGAAGACGAGATTAAAGAACTGACGGTAAGACTAATAACTCACGATATGTAATAATCTGTCTCTAAAGAAGTAATAGTAATCAGTATAGTCCCAAATTTAATAGATAACAGAGATGTGTGAGAAGGATTTTCCAAAACTTGTTCACCGACCACTTCACCATTTCAGCTTTAAGTTAGAAAACATAATTCCGCAAAATACAAACTCGTTTGTATTTCCTATTAGAGGGATGGAACGCGCATGGGACGTGAAAAAGATAAAGCCCGGGATTCGTCTGTGTCAATTTATCGACGCTCAATCTCATTGCGTCACCGCTTGTGTCAAATATAGAGAGCTCCCCAAAACCCAAAATATATAGCTCCCAGAGGCAAACCAAGATCATGTAGTGATAATTAAAGAAATAATCTGTTCTCTGCCACATAAGAAGAGTAGCGCGCCAGAGAGAAACCCTCCGCCGACGGGGGAAGGAAACTGCTAGTAGCAGACGCGTAAAGGCGTATGTATAGAGTAAGCATAAACTAACTGTCTTCACGGAATCATAAGACTTCTAAGGTTTTATTTCATCAAATAAAATTGATGAAAATACATAAATTGGAAATATACAAGGTCATATAAACTACAGCAGATATTTTAAATTTAAAAAAACACTTTATTATAAGTCATTTATAGATCTAAATCATAAAATTGAATCTTTGTCTAGAAATTATATATAGTAATATATATATATAATATATAATAAATATATATTATAATAATATATATAAATAAAGATATATAGATATATATATATATAAATATTATCATTGTTTCTCTTTAATTTCTCCTTCTTAATAATGAGCAATCGCGTGCATTAATGTGATAGAGAATATAGGAATGAAAAAATGATTTTTGTAGAGTTTATATTCAAATCATAAGATTCATATTTATTTGTATTATTTAATATTTTTTTAAAGATATACTAGTTAAGAAAGATTGAAAATAGAACTAAAAAGACTGAATTAAAAACTATTAGAAATCTATTATTTATTATTTAAGTGTAAAAAGAATATGACCTCTTAAGTAGAATACAATAATGAAATAATATTCATATTGACCAACCCCACTATTAGGATAAAGATTATTATTTATTTGTCTAGTGCTAAAATCGTCGAATATTTATTTATGGGCATTTAGTGTTAAATTAATTATATAAATATATATCATATATATAATTTTATGTAAGTTATATTAGTAATAGTTTAATATGATTTATCTGCGATTTTAATTTTTTATATATAAATTAAATAAAATTTACAAATTTATGTTAATGAAATTATTGATACAATAAATATTTCATAATTAAGACAATTAACGTTGTTACCTTACTTTTTTTATCTCGTTAATTTTTAGCTGTCTGTACACTATAGTAAAAAAATTTAAGAAATGTATTTCTAAGTTTCATAATATTAATATTCCTTTAAACTAAAGCACAATCGAGCATATGGTTTTGTTAATGTTATATAATGCACTTGAAAGAGGCTATAAAAGGTAGGAGAAGATGTTCGTTTTGTACATAACTCTTCCTGCTTTGCGTTTGTCTCAACTCTTTGTGATCATCTTCTAAACATGGAGTTCTTCTGTAAATGGGATTCCATTACACTCGTCCTTGGGCTTATTGTTCTTTGACCCAACCTCTTGGGTAAATTAATTAGCCCTCTGCTTCTTTCCATTTTCGTCTCTCTTCTGTCCTCTCTCTCTCTCTCTCTCTCTCTCTCTCTCTCCCAACATTTGTTATATATCACTATCCAAAAATAGGATTATAGTAGCACAAAATTTGAACTTTCATGTCTATTTTACCCATCACAAATTTTCTTGCAACGTTTTTAAAATTGCTGCACACCTGCTGTGATTGTAATCGCTGCAACGATTTTACGCAGTGGTTTCATAACTGTTGGGGAAGACATAGAAGTGCTAGTTATGATGTAACTCATTTTTTTCTAGTTTTTTGTCAATATTATTTTATTTTTGACATCTTTTCACAGTTCAACAATTATATCAAAAAATGAATTTTTTTTTGGTCTGCTTTAATCATCATCACTAATTAGAATAAAGAGGGAGATCCTTATGTTAAAGAGTAAAAGTATAAGAAATACTAAATTTCTCTTTTGGATTGTTATCATCTATAACTTTTGGCATTCATATAATAAATTCAAGATATGTAAACATATCACCTTCTAAAACCAATACGTAATAAATAATAATTATTAATTTCACATCCACTTCAATTACTTATCATATGCTTAGTATTTGATATATAAATTCAGTAATATTTTTAATTAAAAATAGAGATTAAGTCTTTAAAGAACCTTCAAATCACTAAAAATATAGTCGTTGAAATAAAATTCACGAGCCAATAGTTCTGCCTATCACAATGAAAAGCAAGAAAAATAAAATAGAAAAAGCAAGAAAACCAAATGAAAAAAATGCTAAAAGAAGCAGCATGAAGATTCATAGCTCCAGACTTGAAACCAAACGAACAACAACCATCAAACCTGCCAAAATCCTTCAAAGACAACCTACAAAAAGAATGGAAGACAAGCAACCCAAGAACCAACAACCCAATAGCCACCAACAGAACAAACACCCGCAACCAAAAAACCCTCAAAGCACTCACAAGAACTAGAAAAGGAGAAAGGACCAAGGAGACAAAAAAAAATCAACAACACTCACCGACCCAACCAAAAGATCACACAAACCAAAATCAACAACGGGGTCGTTCGAATTTAAAGCCAATTGGGCTAACAAAGCTTCATTATAAAGATAAAAGGAACGTTTTGGATGTATATATATATATCTTTATTCTTTTATATAGAAATTATATATTTTCACACTATTTTATTTAAATATATCTTTCAATCATGAAATATTCAATAGATGAATCAATAGTAATATAATGAGAATAACTACAATTTTTTAAGATGATCAAGCGAAGGATTTTGAATAGAAATGCACATTCTCTATTAAATTCATTCTTCCATCCTTATAAATATCATAAGTTCAATAATATTTCATGCTTGCGTTGTATTTGATAGACAATCATTTTTATTGGGAAATAAACGTCATCATATAAACTTTTGCTTCTATTTGATGATGAAGAATTCTGATGTTAATTAGAATTTCCTTTAGGCGTGCATATTTGTTTATGTTGATATCTTTTGCTTTTATTTGATGATGAACAAATGACAGGAAATTCACAAGATTTGGGCTGTAACCATGATACAATAATTATGTTTGGATGCGCCGAAGATCTGTGCGAAGCCAAATGTAAAGATATATTTGGTGATTTATATTATACTTCTAGTCATTGTATAAAGACATGGTTATGCCGATGTGTAAGCTGTAGTTAAGTCTTAATAACTTATCCTACAACGATTGTTATAATGTTTGTTTATGTGATGTTCTCATGTGTTGTGTGATGGATATTTCTATGTGTGTGCAATGAAATGCTTTCCTTGTTTGTGTTCTTAATAATTTTCACAAAATATCATATTATGTAATGTGTTTTGTGATTATGTCATGTTGTTCTAAAAAAAATAAAGAGAAAGTAAAAAAAGTTGTTGGTGATGATCAAATGATTCTAGTTGCTCCTCTACTTAGAAATTAAATTAAATGTTAATGATTAGCAATTGGGCTTCTTGTGAAGTGTCACCATCTTTTTCCAAGTAAATAAATTTGGCCTTTTACTTTATCTCGATAAACTTATTATTGATAGAACTTCTTATGACTAAGGTTTCGTTTGGGACAGCTTTTTTTCTGCTTCCTAAAGCGACTTTTTAGTAAAAAAAGAAAATTTTTATACTAAAAAGTTGCTTTGAGAAGTAATAAGAAAGCCGTCCCAAACGAAACCTAAGTCAGTAAAAATAGCATTGAAGCTAGCTAATTACTTAGCCAAATTATCTAGGCTTTCTTTTAATGTCGTGGAGCATGCAAATGTCCTTCAGCACTCCGTCGCTCATAGGATAACAATTGTTAAGTGTTAGAGTACATAGCTTAAATATTATAATGGTTACTTTACACGTGTAATTACCTCATTGGTCTTTTATTTTAGACTATTATCTAAGTCTATATATAGGGCGTCTGTACTCTTACTTTAACATCAATATACATTTCTTCTTCTTTAATTCCATCTTGTATCTTGGCCTGTACCTGTCATGGCTTCTGTTTCTTGAAGCTTTCATTAAGTATAATGAAAATCACTTATATCATCATTAAACTATGATATAGCATTGCTTGATAAATTACAAAGGCATCTTTTTTTAGAAAGGAGCATATTACAATTATGTGAAGGACCGTTGTTTTAAAAAAATAAAAAAGGAGCAGAATCGCTTAATTAATTGGCGTATTATACATTTCTGAAAAAAATCAAAACATTTGGCTATTTCCATACAAAATAAAGAGAGAGAAATAGGCCGAAGAGAGAGACGTGGGAGAGAGAGAGGCGGGGGAGGCGAAATGGAAAGAAAGTGAAAGTCAGGTGAGAGAAAGTTTAATTAATTTTAATATAAATATAATTATAATATAATTTATAATTTCATTTAGAGTTATAATTATTTATTTTAAAAAAAATTTAACAGTTATCAAATTTTAAATTAAAATAAATTTATGTATTTATAACTATATATTTTAATATAATTTATACATATAAATTTAATAGCTAATTTATACTTACAATTTTAAATTTAAATATTTTCTAGATGAAATAATCATGGTATAATTATCATGCAAAAATATAAATTATTATTAGAAAGCAAAAAAACAAAAACAAAAAATAATAGTTTCCATAATTTTAAATTTATTCACATTTAATATAAGTTTTGAAAGTTTTTCTTATGTTGTTTATATTAGTTTTATTGCACATACACAGAGTGCAAGTTGCAAAAGAAAAAAAAAAAACATATATTATAAAAAAAATAATTTGGATTATAATTTATTGTTGTTTTTATTGGCACTAACGATATCTACATAAAAAAAGATATATATTTAATTTTTTTATATGTTTCTAGTAAAAATGCACGTGAATAAAAATTTAAAAATAAGAATTAATATTATAAAAATTTTAATTATATTATCATTGTTAAGATGAAAAAAATTATAATAAATAATTATAATCACTAATATTTATTTGAATGTGCGCAAAATTTACCTGAATAAAAAATAAAAATTCTAAAATTTATAAGAAAATTTACAAACAATATCAATTAATAATCGTTTCTATTTCTATTTAACCATACTTGTCTAGATATTTTATGTGACTCAATTTCAATTAGCAATGAATCAATATCAATCTATTTCATCAAATAAAAAAATCGAATTCGAGATAATATAATTGTCCTAACCTGTAATTAACTCTTGTATTATACATCAGGACACAATGTACAATCTAAATGCTATAGTGGAAGCATTTGCCGTTTATGAGGTTCTGATTCATGTAAGCGTACTTTTTCAGCTCAACTAGTTCAGCCCCTTATTCCAATCAGTTAAAATCTGAACCTGTTCAATAGCAAATTATGCTTTTTCGGAGTTTGGCGCCTTTCCTCCCTTCGCTGCGAGGCTCTCCGATCGTTTTAGGGAAGATTTCTTCTTCTTCTTCTTGTTTTGCTCGGTGTTTTTGTTAGTTATGGAGGGTAAAAGGCTTTTGGATCTGGGTTTTTTATCTGGTTCGTCCTCTTCTTGGTCTTTCCGTGATGCCCTAGCGGGATCGTCTGCTTCGAAATCCTCTTTCCCTGATCTTAAGGTTTCGTCTTTTCGGGGCCTTTCTTCACTGTGGATTTCCGATAAGGAAGTGCTGGACCTTGCCTCCTCTTTTGAGTTTGCGCTGGTAGGTAAATTTCCGGCTCATCGTCCGTCTTTGGAAGCTATTCGAATATATATTTTTTTTAATCTCAAGCTTAATGGTGTCTTCTCTGGCACTGTTCTTAACTCTAAGCATATTCTGATTCAGTTGGAAAACGATTTGGATTACTATCGTGTTTTTGCCCATCGCTCGTATTTCGTGAATAATTGTTTTATGAAGATTTTCAAATGGTCTCCCACATTTGACATTGATGTTGAATCCCCTTCTATTCCTATATGGGTTTCCTTTCCTAACATTCGGCCACATCTCTTTGCTCCGAGAATTCTTTTTGGTCTTGGCTCCATGTTTGGTAAACCATTAAAAATTGATTAGGCTACCTCCTCTGGTCGGCGTCCTTCGATAGCTCGTGTGTTGGTGGAATTGGATGTTACCAAGGTGTATCCTAACAAAATCTGGTTGGGTTCCGAGAGCTTAGGCTATATACAATCGGTTATTATGGATCCCTTTCCTGCTTATTAATGTTCACATTGCAAGTCTCTGGGTCACTCAAAGCTTGAGTGCCCTTCCCTTCAGTCTCGTGTGGTTGTGCCGCCTGTGGGTGAGGTAATTCCTGTTTCTATGGAATGTGACTTACCTGCAGCTGTTCCTCCTGTTGTTCCAGTGTTGTTGAGTTCGGATAGTGGCAATTTAGCTGTGAATAATGACATTGATAGTTTAGGTGGTATTGGTTGTGCTACTCTTTCTCCTCTCTGCTCTAATAAGGTGCTGAGACCTGTGTCTGTTTGTGATTCCCCTATTTTGGACGGTTTAGGATATGTGGAAATGGATGCGGTAACTGAGGTGGCTGGACATGCTTATGCTAATGGTGTTGATTTTGCTACTGTTCTTTCCCCCGACGCTCAACCTTTTACTCCAGTTGGTTTGAATTTCATTTCTAACTGTGTTTGTCATAGCGTTGAGGTCCCTCCCCGTGAGCTTCCTTTGCTGTCCGTTAGTTCGGCCCCGGCTGTTTTGGCCGGTTAGTCTTTAAATTATGAGGAGTTGGTTGTCCTAACTCAGTCACCTGTTGTTGTTAATTTGGAAGACGAGGTGTGTCGGGTGGCTGTTTCTGGTAACTCTAGTCCCATTATTCGTAATGATAGAGTTGTGCTTAAGAATTTTGTGGATGTTCCAGTGACTTTTATGGATCTTAAATGTATACACTATAATGTGAAGGATAACTCGGGTGTGGACCTTAGGGTCCACCTGGATTGGCTTCATGACTATAGTTCTGGTTTTGAATCTGACTTTGTTTCTGATTCTGTTGAATCTATGGGAGATGGAGATCCTGGTAATTCTTTCAATTTGCTGCGTGATATACCACTGGTGACTGCTGCTTCTCGTGGCAGATCTCGTGGGAGGGACAGGCGTGGTCGTTGATTGTTGGTTGCTGCAATGTTTCAGTTTTATCTGCTATTTAGTGTGGTCTCGGTTGCTGCAATGTTTTGCATTTTTGATTGGTGGGTTGGCCGGTTAATTGGTTCGATTTGTACGATGAGGAAGCAGCGAGGCTGCAAGCGTTGAGGATGATCAGGGTTGGTTGGCAACCTGGTGGGCCCTTGGATTTTGTTTTTTACCAATGGATGGCCACGCCCTGGCAACCCGATGCTGGTCTGAGTCCGTTGTTATTACTCGAATCTTTTATTTGGTTTTGCTTTTTTGATTGTAAGCCTCTGATGTGGCCCTTTCTAGGGTCCTTTTTGTAATTTTTCTAGTTCAATAAATTTGGTGGTTAAAAAAAAAAGACCAATTCTCAGAAAGAAAAAACAGAATTATTAGAAATTATAATATAATGTAATATTATTCAAAGATGTCAATTTAGGCTTCGTTTGGGACGGCTTTCTTACAACTTCTTAAAGCTATTTTTTAGTACAAAAGATTTAGTTTTTTACTAAAAAACTACTTGATTGTCGTAGAACATCAAGAATATTGAACGAACATAATATATACAAAACCTCCGACTCAAAATCTCCTAATTTGAAGTCTAAACACGATCTTCTAAACAATGTTTGATAAAATGGAGCAAATTGTCCAAATCCAAATGCGTCTCACCTGTCCTTAATTTGCAGGGATTTGAGGCCTACGACAGGTTTTCTTTTAATAACTACAAAGAAAACAGCTCTCAAAAGCACTTCTCTTAATTAGCTGAAGGCTTTGGATTAAAATCCAACAAGTGCAAATCCATGGCATGAGTCAGATACAGATTTGCAAAGATGACTCTTTCTAAGATGAGGTTCCGTAGCCTCACTACAATCAAATCAATATCAAACGAAATTTAAGATTAAATCGGATGAACTGTCTCAGAAATTAATAAACTCGTGCAGAATATTTGCCAAATCTCAAAGATTAAAATGCAGAGTCATAAAGTTCATTCAGAACTAAATAGTCAATTTCAGGTATATTTGGAATCATTGAGTGTTTGATATATTTATTTCCTTTTTTTTCATGTACAATAAAAATTGTACGCCTCAAAAATCGTCAAAATGGTTCAAATTTTTAAAATATAGCACTTCTTAAAATTAAAATTAAAATTATGAGAAAACTCGATGAATAATTACGTTAAAAATACCCTTTTTTCAAAGACGATATCACCTTGTTAATAATACTAATAATGTATT